ACGAGACTACTAAATCGGGGACTCTCAGATATGACTGGACGCACTACGCACCAGCCCTGGCTTCACCAGTGGTCACTGCCGCCTGAGAGGATATCATCGGGTTCTGTGCCCAATAAACCCCTCATTCTGGTTCCATCTGTCTGCTCCTTCCAACGCTATGGCTTGCCCTGATTAGGTTAGCGCTCAGATTACAGACATCCTCACTGCTGTGAAGCTGCAGATATATGACGAAAATACCTACTGCTTACTTAGGGCCTTTCATAGGTGAAATATACATCGGAAGATAAATAAAAATTTAACGGATGGAAGCGAATATGTGAATCCCAGGTTCTTGTTGTAAAGCAGATGAAGACCCGATCTCTGGGACAATGGGTTTATTAGTCTGAGCTTTCGGTCTCGTACAGGAGGCCATCGTCAGAGACTGTGAGAAGGCAACATCAAATGAGTGGTTTTTGTAGTCACGCCATGCAGGGGGGGGGGGAGATGTGAGTGCAGAGGGTGGTATTCGCGATAAAGTGCGTCCCACGCCATCTCACGGTGGCGTGACTGCGTGCACCCTTGGCTCGAAATTGGGTCTCGCCCCTTGACCGCGGGAACGGAGCGCGTGATAGCAGGGGGGTATATCAACATGCCTGTTGATAGCGTTGGTGTCAGACACCCAGGCCTCTAACAGTTCTCGTCCTGTCTTATTGCTGGCCCGCGCCACTATCCGCGTGCTCGCAAAGTTGAATTCGTGGCCTTCCTCCAGGGTGTGAGTGGCGACCTGAGACAACGGGTCGCCTCTCCGGACCGCCCGTTTGTGCTCCGTTATTCGTGAGCTAAGTCGTCGTCCGGTTTGTCCAGTGTAGTGGCGAGGGCAGTCCCGACATGGGATCTGATAGACGCGCGCTCCGTTCTCGCGGTCAAGGGGCGAGACCCAATTTCCAGCCAAGGGTGCACGCAGTCACGCCACCGTGAGATGGCATGGGACGCAACTTATCGCGAATACCACCCTCTGCACTCACATCTTTCCCCCCCCCCCCCTGCATGGCGTGACTACAAAAACCAGTCATTTGATGTTGCCTTCTCACAGTCTCTGACGATGGCCTCCTGTACGAGACCGAAAGCTCAGACTAATAAACCCATTGTCCCAGAGATCGGGTCTTCATCTTCTTTGCAACAAGAACCTGGGATTCGCATATTCGCTTCCATCCGTGAAAATTTCGGGCGTAATGCGCTTCGCACAGCTCGCAGCTGGGAGACATTCACCACCCGATAGGCAGCAACATATGAGCAGCTTCGTTTTCTGCACAGATGTGTTCGCGAAGGACTGACACCGAAGAGCCTACGCTTCAAGACTCCACTGAATTCTGAACTTGGTAGAAACGTTGCGCAACGCTTTCGCAAGCAAATGACAAGAGTGTTGATTAACGACTGCCACTTGCGCCTACACAAGTACCGCGCCGTCATTGAACAGAAAAGGACAAAGTGCGCGACATTGTTTGGCGAATTGGTTACTGATTCCCTTGGCCGATTAATATCCATCTTGGCAAAAAGGAGACAAGAGTTAAAACGCATGAACCTAGAGCAGAAGTTCGGAAAGTTGAAACCCGAATACAATACGAACGAAAATGTGGTGCACAATTTAGCTTCGAGACAGTTAACTGAACAAGAACTGAGAGTGCTGAGTCGTGAAGCCAACTTTAATACGGCAGATGCCAAACCGGCCGAATTTATCGCCGCACTTGAAGCCATGTTGGTAAGAACCAACGCGACCGACGAGGCTAAACACACCGTACGCCAAAAAGTCACCTCCCTACTGCTGACGAACAGGCCCATCAATAATATGTCGCCCGCAGAAATAGAAGCAATGAAGGAATTAAAAATGGACAGAAATATAATAGTGCTGCCAGCCGAAAAATGAAGAGCAACCGTCGTGATGAACCGCGTTGACTACAACGAAAAGGCACAAGCCCTCCTAGACGACCAACAGTCCTACAAGTCCACGCCTCCCTCGCGAGCCAAATCGATGATTGGTCAACTAACTGGACTCCTGAACCGGCTAAAGCGAAACAGTGCTATATCGCTGGACGAATGGCTACAGATGAAACCAACGGACACGGCACTGGCCCGGTTTTATGGATTACCCAAAATCCACAAGCCCAATGTTCCCCTTCGACCGATCGTTGCCTTGAAAGGCAGCCCCACTTACAATCTATCCAAGTGGATGGCCCGAAAACTTAACTTTCTCCGAGAAGGCTCAAGGACCTCCATAAATTCGGCCTCCCAATTCCTGGCCGACATCCGAGGAAAAGTTGTCCGACCGGAGCAGATCATGGTGTCCTTTGACGTGGTTTCATTATTCACGTCCATCCCACCAGACCTGGCACGCGACGTTCTTCGCAAACGACTCGAAGAGAATTACGACGAGACGAACAAACCCCTAAAAATCGACCACTTACTGCAACTGTTTGCTTTCTGCCAACAAACCTTCTTCACCTTCAATGGCAGAACATACGAGCAGATCAAAGGAACGCCTATGGGTTCGCCAATATCCAGCCTGGTTGCAGAACTAATCCTGCAGGAACTGGAAAAAGTCGCCTTCGACGCTATGAACCTGCATTTTGGCGCCGGTACGTGGACGACACGTTCGTCATAATTGAAAAGAGTAGACTGGCCGACTTCCAAGACCTGATCAACGGCATCTTCCCAGACATCCAGTTCACAAGGGAAGAAGAGCATGCCGAACAGCTGCCTTTCCTTGACGTTCTCGTCACACGCACACCCAACGGCGAACTCAACACCACGGTGTACAGAAAGGTGACTAACACGACTCAGATTCGCAACTACCACAGTAACCACCCAATGGCGCATAAACGCAGCTGTGTTAGGACACTCTTCCAGAGGATAAAAACGCACAGAAGTGAACCAGAGGGACGAGCACGAGAACTTCGGCATCTTCGGGACCAACTGGCAAGGAATGGATACCCGAACAGCTTCGTCAGCAGCTGCCTCCGCACGCGCCCACGGCGAACAAACGGAGGAGAGCCAACAACACTCTGGCACCCTCTGCCGTATATAAAGTACGTATCCGAAGCGATGGAACGTATCGCTGGAGAGCTCGGCGTGGGTATCGCTCACCGTCCGACAGCGACCATGCGCAGCAAAATCATGCAAGTGAAGGATCGCCTAGACGTGGGTGAACAATCGGGCGTCGTCTATCAGATCCCATGTCGGGACTGCCCTCGCCACTACACTGGACAAACCGGACGACGACTTAGCTCACGAATAACGGAGCACAAACGGGCGGTCCGGAGAGGCGACCCGTTGTCTCAGGTCGCCACTCACACCCTGGAGGAAGGCCACGAATTCAACTTTGCGAGCACGCGGATAGTGGCGCGGGCCAGCAATAAGACAGGACGAGAACTGTTAGAGGCCTGGGTGTCTGACACCAACGCTATCAACAGGCATGTTGATATACCCCCCTGCTATCACGCGCTCCGTTCCCGCGGTCAAGGGGCGAGACCCAATTTCCAGCCAAGGGTGCACGCAGTCACGCCACCGTGAGATGGCGTGGGACGCAACTTATCGCGAATGCCACCCTCTGCACTCACATCCCCCCCCCCCCCCTGCATGGCGTGACTACAAAAACCACTCATTTGATGTTGCCTTCTCACAGTCTCTGACGCTGGCCTCCTGTACGAGACCGAAAGCTCAGACTAATAAACCCATTGTCCCAGAGATCAGGTCTTTATCTTCTTTACAATAAACATTTATGCATAAGCCTGCCCGATTATGTAGATGAATGATGATCTGACTATACAGTGAGCGACAGATCGCATGACATTTTGCCTAAAATTCTGAAATGCGTTTTCCATTAGGTAGGATTACTTGGTCGCGGTTGTATTACTGATTAACTGAAGGCATATTCTTATGGTATTTCGGACTTGGCAGGACGTGGGCTTTTAAATGCACTTTTTTTCATCTCCTGTAGGAAGCCTATTTGGTAACAATTGACTACTTAAAAAGCATGCATTTTTTCCGCTGATTTTCGATCTTGCACATTCAAATATATTTTATAGAATCCATAATCGAAAATATGCTTCATTTAGTCAATCAATAGATAATCGCGCCGTCTTTATATTTTATACTTAAAGAAGGGATATAATTAGGTTTTAAAAAGTTTTCTAATTGCTCATTAATTTGGAACCTGATCATTAGTTGCATTAGCGCTTTGCGATTTCACTCTTCAAGGAGCATGCGTTCCACGTAGAGAAAATCATATGTTTTTCTATACCATTAATGAGATACCATACAGAGTCCATAAATTTTGCAATGGATGCGGACCATGTTGTACATTTCATAAGAAGCAGATATAAACGGTCAGGTACGATGCTATGTTGGCGGACATTTCGCGGTATTAAAAAGTCTCACAATTAGAAACTTTTTTAAACTTTAATTATACTCCTTCCTTCAGTATAAAATATAAAGAAGACGTGATTCTCTATTGATTGACTAAAAGAAAGCTGTTTTTGGTTAATGGCTTCTATAAAATATATTTGAATTTGCTGGACCATTGAAAATCAATGGAAAAAATGCATGCTACATAAGAAGTCATTTGTTACCGAATACGCTTTGTACAGGAGATTGAGAAGAAGTGCGTTTAAAAGCCCACATCCTGCCGAGTCCGAAATGTTATAAAAGTATGCCTTTAGTTAATCAGTATTACAACCGCGACCAAGTAATCCAATCTAATCGAAAACGCATTTCAGAATTTCAGCCAACATTTTATGAGATCGGTCACTCATTATACTGCATGATCACTTTTAGTGAGATTCAACTACGACAGTGTTCTGCAGTCAAAAGGGCAGTTTAAATGCCTCGTTCGATAGATACCGCGGAAGCAGATGATATACACTTTGTTTTTTTTCACACATACCTCTGGTATGGAACGGCAACTCGTTATATTTGCCACCACTTGTTTCATACCCAGCGCCTGTGGGTGCAGCAAGTAAGTCGAACGACGGATCGGCGTCTCCAGTTGTCATCCTCGATTTCGGCCATCTCTGCAAACGTATAGGTTCGTTGACGTGGATGACGCAGTGGTATCTGTCGAGCATGGATGCGTCGGTCGGCACTTCTGCTGATGCTGCGACCAACGTTCGCAATATGCACCACGAGTGACAACTCAAAACTGTTTGTCTCAGGCCAGTAATTGACGTGTTGCCAGTCGGACTCGCATTCGCCTGTATTTCTGCCTGAAGGGATCTCCCGATGCAAGGCGATCCACCATCCTGCCATGAAGAGACAATTAAGGAGGACCAATGTCAAAAGGAAATAATATCTGTTCGGGCACGGAACGTTCTGGAGCATCGTACTTGGGGTCTGAGATACTCATGATCTTACATAGAACTCGTCGTGCTTTTTATCGCCAGCTTTCCGTGTGCGTCATTCGCCAAGTCAAAAACCGTTATTCGCTACGCCATTGGATGTTGCCAATTTAGAAATTATGCATACATCAATCGCCTCGCGGTTTCTACCGAAACCACTGGAGGTGGTGTGGCAGTTTAAACGACGGCGCCAGACAGTGTTAGCGTGATTTCAATAAGAAGACCATTGTAACATGTTAGATTAAATTACGCATTGTTGGCATCACCTTCACATTCAAACGTTTGCTGTGCCAATGTTTCTTTATTTGAAAAGGAGTGAATATTGACATGGGTACCTGTAAACACAAATGCTAACTTATTGTAAAATTGCTAGGCTTGTGAGAACGAACTGCTGATCAAATAAATGAAAGTTTTATTTGAAGAGCATACTAATGCGACTGATCAAATAGTGGTTGAATTCAGTGATGCTACCCATGAAAATATTTAGAAAGTCAATTTTGACAAACATATGCTTTCGATTGCTTGGCACCAGGTATGTGTATCATCAGCCTCTGCATCGGTCTCTCTTACTTAAAGATATGTTCTGACGATGAATAGGTAGTTGAAGATGCACGCAATTTTAGCAGTTACGCTGTTTATGCGTCTTGAAATCTCGTAAATATCAGTTGTCCGGATAGCCTGAACTGACAAGTTGCTACTCTGTTAATATGCCTCCCTAGTGATCCGCCTACACGGTGTAGCGGCCGAGCGCGAAACCGACGAGGGGTGATGGATGCTATTTGAAGGGGTTGACGGCACGCTTGAATTCCGCCAAACTAGCTGTTTGGAGAATCCTGCCTAGAAGTCCTTGTATCTCAAATCGGGCAGGATCGAGTGGTACAGGTATTGAAGATACCATGTGAGACAGGACAGATAGTGGAAGGATGCAAAGTTATTATCGAATACAAACGTGGACAACTATTACAAGGGAGTCGTTTTCAACAAAGAGAACGACAAGACGACTTATCGGAGACAGATTGGCGATTATTCCTCCACACGTGACCTTGGCAGTCCGTTCCGATAGAGAAAAAACGGAAGAATGCAATCCAACGCAAGTGTCGATTAAAAGAACCATGGTGAGGCTTCCAACCAGACCCCCGGCTCTTTCAAAGCCGAGCATGTGTCGTGTGGCACCAACCTCCTTAAATGATTGAAGGCCTACTCATCCAGTTGGATGAATCAGATATCTAGAGGACATATCAGCTACTCAAGGCCACTATCTGATTGGCCGAATTTCAGCCCCATCCTGGGCACTCTTATATGCGCCTTGTAGCCTTGTACGCGCTGCTAAAATGTGTTATTCTCGCGATATCACTCGGCGTCTCTCCCGCAGAGGCTCGAATGCGGATCGACCCCCGTACATTATTTGATGAATTTTGTCAGAGTTCGTATCCGTGAGGACAACGGAATGTTGGCCGCTAAATTTTCCGCCCGACATTAATGGAAAGGTATTTTTACCAACGACATGGAACCAAAGTACGTTCTTTCCATCCATGTGAGAAGGTGCTGGCAAAAGACTACAGAAGGAGTCAGGAAATGTGGACTCCTTGATGTGTTCGTTGAACGTGTGGTGACGTCTACAAGTTTCTGGTTCGATTGGTCATTAGAGCGTCATTAGCCAATCATCTAAGGCCCAAGCAATACATTGACGTTTAGAATTCAGACATACATCTGACGCTGGAACTGCTGGGCTTATCGACTCGACCGAACTACAACAAATACACATTCCCGGAGTTAAGGCGAACTCTTCAGCAAATCTCACATTCAACCAGTAGGAACCTAGGGTTTGCGCCGATGTGCGGATGATTCAATCATCCCTATTAGGAGGGAACTTTTTTCTCGGGTTTTCTAAACCTGCTTAACGGCATCTTCGTCGACATTCACTTTACAAGAGAATAACAATAGGACGAGCAAATCTGATTATAGACTCAACACCAAAATGGACAGAAAGGCCAATAACACAGCTCAGGTTCGCAGCCGTCATAGCAACCACCTGGTGATGCTCATACAGCACTATGTTATGGCAAATACGCAATACAGCGGCTCTGAGGGAAGAATACAAGGAATAAGGCATGCCAGAGATTAGTTGGTAAGCAACAACTATCCAAAGAATTCCATCAGTCGCTGCACACGCAGTCATCCACCATGGACGGCTCTTTGGGCCAAATGTGGTTCCATTAAAACTAGAGCATAGCATCATTACTTTCATTGCCAGCACCTGACGGTCGGACCGTCGTTGCCGGCGATGTCCGTCGTGTGCTCCAGTGCCCTCGGCCTCTCTTTTTTCACTTCCAAGTTCTACCCACTGTCCGAGCCGCTTTGTTGTCTGGTGGGGAGAATGGGCGCAGTTGCGGACATAAATATCGACCTCGTCTGCGCTTGCCACATACACCACCTGGCCCCACAGATCCAAACACCAAGTTTTACCTAACAGGGGGCTGTGTATGAGGCATTGCACATGCGCGAGGCTGTCGGTGGTCACGTTAACAAGGATTCATTTTAACCTGGCTCACTGTCCACCAGTCAGCCTTTCAAAGCATACACGTACAACTGGGGTGACAGCTCGGAATGAATAGAAGCGTCAGTTGGTGTCCTCCGAAGCCGCGACGATTGGCGCATCGTGAGATCCTCAGGCTCGGACCACCCATGCGGTTGAGGAAACACACAGACAAACGAGCCAAAGAGAAGGCTTCACAATAGCGCGAGATGTGCTGCTGCTGAGGGGATTTGGAGTGATGTATGCATGGTGCATGTGTTAATGGGGGATTGTTTGGTGAGGTGGTCGTGTCTGCAGTGATTTACCACAGGCTTTCAAGAATGCGCAGGTGACTTAGCAGGCCCATGCGGTGTTAAATGCGTGATGAAAACGTGGGCGGTTGAGCCGAGTGGGTCTGGTGGACATTGGCGGCTTCCGAATGTCGACACGCCTAGCACATCTCACACATCCACCAACTATCTCATTACCCACCCAATCAATGATCCATCACTCAGAGCGTCAATCGCTATCAGCATTATTAACACCAACACCACCACCGCCACCACCGAACCAGTCTCTACAGCCGCAAGCCTATCCTCCCCATATTGCAACCGCACATTCACCCCACCCATCACACAGTGCGTGACAAACCGTTGTCTGAA